AGTTAAGTGCTTGCAGTGATTTACAACAAAGGCAACAAAGCAATTAGCAATTTCATGCTGGTATAGTTTTTTGGCAGCTCAAGCATTGATAGATTTAAATTTGGTAATAGGGAAAGGTGTACAGAAGTGTGAAAAGCTGTATAGTTCCAGAAATTATGAGAACTAAAATGGATAGATGATGTTTGTGTATTTACAATGTTGTGCCAAAGAAATATGTTGGAGCCAGGGTTACATAGAAGGGTGGGAAATGACTCAGGAAAGATGTTTTGCCAATTATGCTAAACTTCATCCAGATTGTGTTTACCCAAACAGGCGACTTCTATTGTTCTCTCTCTAGCCCCACCCTGGGCTTAATGTTATTTATGTCTAATAAAACATGATCTCTCACAGACAAAGAATAGAGAGCTAAAAACAAGGAGGCAAACTTTGGAAAAGCCAGCAGTCCTGACTCCAGGCAATATTTTGCCATGTCTAGGAGACATTAGCTAATATAAAAATCAGTGCTTCAACATGTTCTAATGAATGTTTAACTTCATGTTGACAGAGTAACTCAATTGCTCAGTTATATTTATTGGACCTCATAGAACTGCCTTGGATATATCCAGCCCCAATAATATCAGATTAATTGAATGTAAAAACTCTTCCACTGATAACTCTGTGACATGCTGCAGTGCTGACCATATGTGTCGAAGTCAGAATTTTTCAAATTGATCAGTCTGCTAAAATTCACAAAGCCACTTGGGAAATATTTGACTTCTCTCTCCTGCCTCCTCCCTCCAAAAATATGGAATGCTGGCACCAATTTTGGTCTTGTTGCTTATCCATATAAATAATTGATACTTAAAGATTGGAATTTGGCAATAATTGCTCTAATAATTCAAGATGAGAAAGATTTTCCTGACATTAGCAAACCAATTCGTTTACTAAGCTGCATTAGTAAATTCTAGACTAGACATGTATATAAAAACTTTCAGACTACAGTAAAGGAGTTCAGAAAAGGTGCTGGTTGTTATATATAAAGCCCTTCAAAGCACAGGGCCTTGGCATTTGAACTAGGACTGCCATAGAATCTGTTCAGTTGATTTGAACCACCAGGACTGAATCAATTAAATAATATGATCTATTGGCATTTCAGAAACGTGCCTTCTTGTAGCAGTGTCTACCCTAGAACGAGATCCATATAGTCCCTTCCCTTCTGCTGTTTTCTCCCAAGCTTTTAATGAGGGTAAGTGAAGACTTCTTGGATTATTTTTTTCCAATCCAGTCCAGTTTCTGTCACCTTGATGTCCTTTATTTCTTATTTTTGTTGAATGCTTTTTAAAAGTGTCATTGCTCGTGAGCTACATAAAATAAAATCATTTAAAGTCAGGCAGCCTACACATTTTAAAATAAACAAATCATTGTTGGGAATAAACAGGCAGATTTCACAGCTGGCAGAAGTACAAAGGAGAATAGATTTCTGTGCCACCTACTTTGTGAATAAAAATAAACCAAAACAAGCTGCATTTATTGATTTTAAGCAGGCATTTGATCATAACCTTGAGAAATGGGGCTGTGGGGGAAATATAGAGGTTCAATAACTGATTTTTGTCTGTTTATTCTTATCTATAAGAAGTAGAACACCAATCTTAAAATAGGGTGAAAGGCAGCAGACCCCTTTCTAATCATGTTCTTCTAGAAGACATGTTAAACAAGTCTGTATTTTTGACCTACTTTTAGTTAATTTTTCATTATTGCTGTGGTTGATAAGTTAACCAAAAACAATTCCATCCACCAAAGATTGCTGATAGGCACATAGCAGAGATTGCTAATATTCAGAAGATGATGTGAACCTATCACAACAACTATAGGGCTAATAAAGACATTTGGTTTTCCATCAATCTTCCAAAGGGAGCAGCAGCTATAGTCAAACATCAGTTAAACAAAGATTGTTGTATTCTCAAAAAGTTACCAAGTTCTGACTTGGATAATGAATGGGATGAAATTCAATGACTTAATTTGCTTTCTCTATTTGGGGATGGTTTTTCATTTATGTGATAATTAAAATGGACACTTTTAATATGCAGCCCAGAAGGCTTAAAAGAGCATGACTACAATTAGTCTTCTTCTCCCCAAGGACAACCCAATATTTTCAAATTGCTAACATTTTTTTTTAGGTTGACCCTCCACTCAATTATTCTATGAAGTAAATTATGATTAGGAAGTAAGATGTGTATTTGTGACCAAGTTTATAAGGAAATAGAATAGAATAGAATAGAATAGAATAGAATAGAATAGAATAGAATAGAAT